TTCTTGCATTTAGAACCCAATTGACTTGACTTGTGTCTTGGTGGTGCTCATGCTTTCTTTCTAATTCTTAGTTCCGAGCATTTGTGTTTTCTCTTGCACGCTCATATTAGACTGGCTCATTTGTCCCTATTGTTCACACCCCTGTCTCCCCTGCCCCCGCACACACTTGTACACGAGTACGAGTGTACAGACTCACCCCAGAGCCTGCTCGTGGTGGTTCACATCCCGCTCTTTCCTCACTCATTAATGCCTGCTGTCGCGTGTAGAGCCTGCTCTCCAGGATCTGAAGTCAAACGCTTAGTCCCTTTACTTTTATTCCTTCGGGTTGTGTAATGAAATCATTACAGCTGTGGATTTTCTTCCAAGAAAAATTCAGATCTTATCCCCTCCATTTGTTTTGATGTCTTCCTTATTTTCCCTAAATGCTGTATAATGGCATTTAAATTCCTCTTTGATTTGAGATGACTTAAGAGGGCATTTTCTTGAATCGCCAACTGGTTGGCAACTGGGGAGCAGGGGGACCTTTTCATTTGTTCTTTTTTCATTAATACCCAATGTTATCACTTTCTGGTCTAAGAATGTGGTCTTGTGGCCTGTGGTCTTGTTAGTGTGGGAGTGCCCTCTGACCTCCTCTGTCTCCCCAAGAGGGAATATCAACTTCAACCCCAGGCTGATTGCTCTGAGGAGAGTCATTCATGCCCTAACCCTCCAACCACTATTCCCAATTCTGACATCAACCGTCTCCCCACCACACACACACACACACACACACACACACACACACACACCACTCTCTACTTCTCTACTGGGTCCCATAATTCATTGCAATGGCCACACAGAGCTCACAGAACATATGACTGGGGTTTATTAGGGAAATTAACAAGTTTACTGTTCAGGATCAGAATTGCATAGGATACAATTCTTTCTGTCTGCCTGTCTTCTCAGCCAAACCTGCAGGCATGCCTCTCTGTGGCTCTAGGCTCCTTGGCCTCAATCCTGCTCAGACGATGTTACATAACTCTTTTAGCACTGCCAATAAATATCCAAAGGTCACTCCACTCTACCATAAGCTTCATCCCTGAGGGCACAGCTTTAGCTCAATGGGTCACCGAACCCAACTTCCCCAATTATGCGCCTGGAGGTACGCTACTCCACCATCAGTCCTCGTATGGAAAGACACTCGGCATTCACACTCTGTGATCTGAGAAGCCCAGCACTGTCTCATGCTCACAGGGCTGCTCCTCTGCTGCGGCCACTTCTCCTGTGTCACAGCTCAGTCTTTCTCCTAGAGGGAAACATTTCCTCATAGATTTGAGATGATTTAAAAGGGCATTTTCTTGAGTCTCCAAGGGTTGGCAACCAGGGAGCATGGGGGCCATCTTTATTTGTTCTTTTATTATTAATCCCCAATTGTATTTCTATCTGGTCTAAGAATGTGGCCTGTGGTCATATTTGTGTGGTCTCAGGGTTCCAAGGACACATTTCGCTCCTGGCTCGTCTTCCTGGATGGTCATGAGATTCCCCTACTCCTGCTTCGGAGATGGCTCGTTTTATCCCCAGCAGAATGGCAAAATGGACCAATCCCTGTTAGTTTCATGCACCCTCTTTGGAAGGTCCCACCCAGTCACTTAGTGGGAGTTACAAAGACTATGGCTAAGACAACCCTATCAGTAATTCATTGTATTATCGTTAGTTGTGTATTTTGCAGTTGATTGACAGTTTGCTTGGGCTTTCAATATGGTTACTTTTTTTTTTCCCTTTCAGTGTTCCTTGGCTTCCTGTCAATAGATGCTATCTTTGTTTGCAGGGATGCTGTTGAATACATCTTATCAGTCAGAGTGTAATCGGTGTGCTAACGTTTTTTGCTGTTGCCTTTAGATTTGTCAGCCTGTGTGTTCTATCCAAGTTCAGCCCTCTGCAGCTTTCATAAGTAAGATGTCTTGAGTCTCAGGCCCTCCTTGTGGATTGTATCTATCATCAGTATGATGGCTTTCCCAGCATAGTTTGCGCCTCTAGGACTAGATTCCCTGAGATCCCCTCTGTGTCCACCCTGCTGTTGGACTCCTGGCGTTCCCTCTGAAGTTGGAGGACTCAGTCTCCTTTGCTCACTGCCACTGAGTCAATGCCAGCTCCTGGCAACCCTATAGGACAGGGTGGAACTGCCCCGTGGGTTTCTGAGACTGTAACTGTTGTATGATAATAGAAAGTCCTATCTTTCTCATTCGGTGTGAGTCGGGGTTTTAACTGCTCACTGTGGGGGTCAAGGCCCCATAATTAACCACTATGCTACCATGGCTCTTCTGGTGGAGGATGCAGTGAGACTGGGATTATCAGCATGAGACGAGCCAACTGAAAGGTGTGGGTCGTGGGCCAGGCCTAGGGCTGGCTACAGAATGGCCAATATGTTATTCTGTGGCTTCCCCCATTCACTCAAAATTCAACTCACTGCCATCAAATGGATTCCAACTCAAAGAAAACCCATAGGACAGGACACAACGGCTGCTGTGAGTTCCTGAGACTGTAACTCTGTATGGGAGTAGAAAGCCTTCTCTTTCTGCCGTAGAATGACTGGGAGTTTTGAACCACTAACTTTCCAGTTAACATCCCAGTGGTTTACCCTCTCTGCCACTGGGACTCCTTCCTCAGAAGTCCCTGAAAAACAACTCACTGCCGTGGAGACAGACTCCTCGTGACCCCAAGTCACTAGCCAGCTTCAACCCCACTTTTCTGTTGTCCCCGTATGTGTGCACCACTATTCACACCCTCACTTACTGAGTTGTTCTTCCGTCATCAACATGAGCTCACTGCCTATTCAGCTTCCTGCCTTATCTTTTGAGCTGCTACCATCAATGTGATCGCGTACGCTCAAAAGCAAACCCATCGCATCAAGTGGATTCCACCTAAGAGTGGCTCTCAAGGACAGAGTGGGGTCCCTACCTTTCCCAGGCTAAAATCTTTGTGGGAGCAGGTAGTCTCCTCTTCCTCCTTTGGAGTAGCTGGTGGATTTGAACTGCTGACTTTGTAGATAACTGGTGACTGTATCACCCACTACACCTCCAGAGCTCCTTGACCCCGTATCGATAGGTCTTGAAAGAACCTCTCAAGAATGCTCAAGGTAGACATGCTTTAGTAGTGACAGTAAGCAGTTGTTTGGTTTGCAGATACTGGGAGGTATTTCTGGTTTAAGGATTAAAGATGATCTCAGAGCAATAGTTTCAGGGTTTCATCCAGCCTCGATGGCTCCAGAGCTTCTGGAGTCCGTGTGAATCTGAACTTCTGCATTCTCTCCCTTCTGGTGTGGATTCTTCTACAGAACTGGTTGTGGGTGGTGCAGGACAAGGCAGTGCTTCGTTCTGCTAGAGGTCCCTAAGGAGGGGCCGGGACAACCGCTGTCAGTAACTGCTGAGCTCTTGTACCCATGAGAGACCAGCACTGCTCACAACTAGGCATGATGGGAGCGTCTGAGCCACACAGTGTTGCTGATAGCACTCCTTTCTCCTCCCTTGGAGCGTCAGTTTCCCAGCATGCACTAGAGCAGCAGTTCTCAACCTGTGGGTCGTGACCCCTTTGAGGGTCGAACAACCCTTTCACATATTTCCAATGGGCTTAGGAACCAAGACACCGCTCTATTCCATCTCCAGGCAGGTCCACCCACATGCAAATATGCCCACATACAAGTACCGAGTACCAGCATGAAGACAGTTATCCATGCTACACCATGCTCCAAGACAAGATTTCACTTATTTGTCATTAGAAATAAATATTTCACAATATATAATTACATAGTGTTTTTGTGATTCATCACTATGCTTTAATTATGTTCAATTTGTACCAATGAAAATAATCCTGCATATCATATTTACATGACAATTCGTTACAGAAGCAAAATTACAGTTATGAAGTAGCAAAGTAAATGATGTTATGGTTGGAGGTCACCATCACATGAGGAACTGTCTGAAAGGGTCACGGCATGAGGAAGGCTGAGCACCACTGGGTTAGAGCATGGGCACGTGTCCATCGTTGTTGTGAGTTGCCATGGAGTGGGCACTGACTCAGGGCAGCCCAGGTACAACAGAAGCAGTGTTGCCCAGCCCACGGGAGTGGCCGCTCCATTGTCTGAGTATCCTTCGACCAGACCAGTGGTAGCAGGTAAAGGGGTTGGGGGGCCAAGGGCTCATCTTCCAGAACAATCTATTGGATAACAATGTGCCGTGATTCAAGGGTTTACACCACTAATTCTCAGAAGTAGACTGCCAGACCTTCCTTCGACTAGAAACTCTGCTGAGAACCTGCACACCGTGAGTGACATGAAGGACCGGTAGCCTGGCTTCAATCTTAGCACCATGGTAACACACGTCCCCACGGTCATCAAGGCAGTTCTAACCCACAGGTCCTATAAGACAGAGGCCCTATAAGACTGCCCCCAAATTTTGTTGACACATAATTCATGTCCCATACAATTCAGTGGTCTAAATGTATTAAAAAAGAGTTGTAAGCGGTAAATTCGTACAGAAGGAGACTGCCTCTTCTTTCTTCTGTCCAGTGACAGGTGGGTTGGAACTAATGACCATGAGGTTACTGGCCTCATGCTTAACGCACCGAGCCACCAGAGCCCCTTAGGAGACATCAAAGCCTAGTGATAGCATGTTAGAGCCTTGGAGTTCTGGAGGGTTAATTTGGTGGGAAGCAAGGCAAACTTACCGCCACCCAAATCTGATCCTCCACACGTGGTCACCTGGCTGTTCACTGGCCCAGCCTCATTTCACAGCGACCAGTTCCATTCTCTTCACATGGCACCCACCTCATGCTGCTGTGAGAGTCCAGTCAAGGAGGCTTGTAGGGAGGTAGTGGGATTGGGGAGGGGGTGCCTGTCTTGTCTAGAAAAGGACAAGACCCATGATCAGTACCAGTGGCTACAGCCGATGCTGTGTTTGGGGACCTAGCAGCTGGCCTCCATTGGCCCCTCACGGCCCACTGAGCACTTTCCTTTTGCTCTGTAGCTCAAGAAGCAAGCAGCCTCCCAGGAAGACTGTCACTGGTGCTGGGGGTTAGGAAGATGCCATCCACCCATTTCCAGCTCCACAAACACTAAGATCCCACAAGACCCTTGAGGGCCAGGGAATGAATTGGGAAAAGGGACCGTCCTGGTCAGAGGGGTCTGAGAGTGTCCAGCATCTGAGCAGTGTTTCTGTCCCCACAGTGAATGGATACCACGCATCAGGGACTCCAGCGCACCCTTCAGAGACTGCCCACATGAGTCTCCGAAAATCCACAGGTGATTCCCAGGTAAGGGCCCATTCAGGTTTGATCCCACGGGGTCTCCTCAAAGGCAGGGCAGTCATGAGAATCTGGGTGACAACAACCCGTCACTGCCCCAGAGGAGGCTGGTTGGTGTGTCTGAGTTGGGCCAGTGACCCCTATGGGGGAGGGCAGGGTAAAGGTGGCTAGTTGGTTTTCTGGAAATGGAGGGTGGTTTGAGAGAGGTAGGAGATGGTGGTGGGATAGCAGTTGGGTTTAAGGCGATAGATTCAGCCCTGCAACCCAGAGTTTGGATAAATCACCCACTCACTCACTCACTCACTCACTCACTCACCCACTCACTCACTCACTCACTGCCATCGAGTCCATGCCAACTCATGGTGCCTTTTGGACAGGGTAGAACTGCCCCTGGGGGTTTCCAAGACCGTTAACTCTTCACAGGAGTAGAAAGTTGGGCTGTGAACCCAAAGGTCAGACATGTCACCCACTATGCCCCCAAGGCTCCCTCCAGATAAATATGACTCTAGATTTCTTAACACTTGAGGAGGGACATTTTCCTTTCTTCGTGCCCTCTCCTGGCTCTGGACTTTTTACCCAGAGTGGAATTTAGCAAAATGATCATGCTTGATAAAGCTAGCTTGGAGGTAGAAGCGTCAGATGGAAAGAGACAGAATTGGTTTGAAGATGTCCCCAGCCGCTTTCTCGTCCATCATTTCAGGCACCACTGCGGGGATGGCATGAGGTGGGTGGGTGGCACCATGGCCAGGTGACGGATGAGGTCGCCAAAGGTCAGATAGGATCCCGATGCCACAATGCTCCAGTTACGCTAAGCTGCATCTAAGAAACTCAGGGCCGAGGAGCCCTGGTGCCATTGTGGGTATGTGTTGGGCTGCATTCTGTCAGAAACACAGGGACTAGTCTTCTTTCATGTCACCATAAATGATCCAAAAGCTAATTCCTGGTGCCGCTTCCAAACTCTACCCACCCTTTCCAGGAATTCCATGTGCCAGCACGCCACCCCCGCCCCCCAATTCCATGTGCCAGCACGCCACCCCCGCCCCCCTGCGCCGCTGCTGCTGTCAGTGACGTGGGTGGTAACAATAGCTGCTTATCGCGCGGGGACTGTGCACCATCACTGGGTGGAGGGCCTGGGGTCCCTGCAGTGGGCTGAACAGCAGCGCTCTGCTCGGATGTCGAAGAGAATGCCGTCGTTAGGAACTCATACTTGGGCCATTCTCTTAGGAAGCAGCACCTTGGAAGGAACCGGGCCATCGCTGTAGGCCTGGGCCTCTTACGCTTCAGTGGGCTTGCAAGTCTCAGCGCACTGGTGAAAACGCGGATTCTGATTCCAGAGGTGGCTGGGGCGCCGAGCTTCCGTGTTTCTAACAAGCTCCCAGGGGATGCAGATGCCACTGGCCTGGGGACCGGGTGGTGAGTGGTTGGGGACAGTACTCAACTGCCATGGAGTCGATGCTGATCCACAGGGACCCTATAAGGCAGAGTAGAACTTCCCTTGTGGGTTTCTAAGGCTCTAAGTATTGAGCGGAGCAGAAAACCTCATCTTGCCTCCCTCAGGAGAGTCTAGTGAATTCGAACTGCCGACCTTGCCGTTAGCAGCCCAGCGCGCCATGAATGGGTACCTAGCCTGTGTGTGCGTGCTCTTTCCCCCTCCTGCTTATGGCACACACCCTGATTCCACCTTAGCATTATTTGTCTCCTGCCAAGCCCGAACAGTCTTCTCCACACTCCCTTTGCCAGTCTGAAGTGAAAATCGCTCACCATCTGAGTCCAGAGGTTTGCTAAAGGCATCAGCTTGAGACCGGCTGTCTCAGCAACAACAAGAGGCTGTTGCTGTCCTGAGCACACCGCATGTCAGAGAGGACACAGCCTTGCTTGCTGAAGATGAGGAGGGCTTGAAGCATTTGTTTAATGAAGACCAAAGACTACAGCCTTCTATGTGGATCACACCTCAGTGTAAAGAAAACAAAAGTCCCCAGAACTGGACCAATAAACAACAGAGTAAACAACAGCATGGTAAACAGAGACGGCTGGATTTGTCAAGGATTTCTTTTTACACAGCTCCACCATCAGTGCTCGTGGGAGTAGCTGTCAAGAAATCAGAGAACGTATCTCATTGGTCAAATCTGCTAAGACCTCTTAAAAGTACTCAAGCGCAAAGATGTCCATTTGAGGACCGCCGTGCCCCTGAGCCAAGCCATAGCCTTTTCTGTCACGTCATATGCGTGTGAAAGCTGGGCTGCATAAGGAAGACTGGAAGAGTTGGTGCCTTTGAATTCTGGGGCTGGCAAAGCATATCGAAGGCACCGTGGACTGCCAGGAGAGCAAACAAAGCTGTCTTGGGAGAAGTACAACCAGACTTCATCTCGCATCCTTTGGACGTGTTCCCGGGAGTGACCAGTCCCTGGAGAAGGTCATCAGCATGTTGGGAAAAGGGGGTCATGAAAAAGAGGGAGACCATTGACAAGATGGGTTGACACAGCGGCTGCCACAATGGGCTCGGGTAACAGCTGTGAGGATGGCGCAGGGCCTGGTGGTGTCTCGTGCTGTCGGACAGACACAGGGTCACTGTCAGTTGGAACGAACTGTGTGGCACCTGACAACCGTGGGTCTCGTCACGGGGAACATTAGAAACAATCACCCTTTCTCAACTAATTAATTCTGCCCGAAGAGAAACAAGCCTGTTTGTCCCTTCCGGAAATACTTGAAATTGTTACCATTTTTTCAAAAAGCTCTCCTAGGATAACCTTCTCAGAAGTTGACGGGACCGTGTGTGCCCTAAGCCTTTGACCTGGGAAATCTCTTCTGTGGAGTGTATTTAGGGATCCTAATTTATCTGTGAGGCTGTTCACGAAAGCCTCGTACCAGCCTTGAAAGTCTGGCCACAGCTAAATTGTCTATTGGCAACCAGAAACCCCATTCACTGCCATCGGGCTGATTCCAACTCACAGCGGTTCGAACCCACCCAGCGGCTCTGCGGAAGAAAGGCTTGGCCATCCGCTCCCCATACAGAGGGCATTCTGGAACCTGGATGGAGCAGCAATCCTCTGTCTCTTGGGAACTGGCTAAGGCACACTCACATCGGCGGCACCGCACACTCACATCGGCGGCACCTAGCAACAGCATCTGCAGCCCAGACTGGTTCTCAGTCAGGTGTGCAGGGGCAGTGAGTTGTGGATTGGGACTTTTCCAGCCAAAGTCTCCAATTTCCACCAGACGCCCTTTCCCTGCCTGGGTCTGGTAAGAAGGTGGGGAAGATACTGACAGGATTCACCCATGAGTAATTGCGAGCAGATTCCCTGCAGTGCCGTCCTGCTGTGTATAAAAAATGAGCCCTCTGAAGAGCAGGAGGAGGGATCTCATTACCAGAAAGAGCCGGGAGTGGAGCCTGTCCTCTGGATCGGAAATCCCTGTGCAATGAACCTCCTGGATCCAGAAGACAAGCTATAGGATCAGAGGAGCAGCAGAGTGACGGACTCCCACCCACAGAGCAAGTCGGGGTGATGCTTTATGCAGGAGGCTGACTTGCAGAATGGGGTGCCTCTGGATACTTGAGCTGACTGAAGATGGGGTGCCTCTAGGCATTTAATTTAGGGAGTTGACTTGCTGACTCATGGAGCTTAAGCAGAATGCCTTTAGGTCGAGGCTGATAGCAGAGAGATATGCCCTTTGGGCATTTATTAGCAGACCTGAAAGACCTTTGTCACTTGTCCTGATAAACAACTCAACCCTGAGCATTTCTCGCCAGCGTTACAACTGGTTGACTTCCTTTTGATAAACCCTTTTGTTATGATTTTTGTATGATTTTTGTCAGTGAGCTCTATGTAGCCATTGCAGTGGCTATCAGAACAACGCAGAGAGGTAAGAGGGAGAACATTAATTAAGACAGCCCAGGATGGTTTTGCAGCCCCTGCCCCAGGGATCATCGGCAACGTGGGAAGACATGTTTGCTGTCACAGCGGGAGCAGGGTGAGGAGAAGGAGGAGGGAGTGCTATGGGCACTTAGTGAAAGAGGATGGGGTGCAGCTAGACATCCATCGTCAAGGGTCCAGGCCAGCTCCCACACCAAAGAATTATCTGACGCCAAATGCCCTTAGTGCCAAGGCCGAGAACCCATGCTTGACAGTCCTGAGTGACTTTTACTTCCTTCTCACTCTTCAGTTGCCTAAGGGCGTGAGGACTGCCCTTTTTCAGAGAATGACCTTGAGATTTGAGGTACTGTTCTTGGAACAACAATGAAGGGGGCAGTCTGTGGAGAGGGCAAGCAGGCACGTGCTCAACAGATGCCGGAACTGTGAGGTCACTCGTCCTTCTGTTGGGTTGTGAAGGGGCTAGCACATGGAGGAAGACAAGCTACCACTTTCATCCTCCGTAGCAAGCCTGTGGATCTGGCTCTCCAAAGACCCCCTCACAGAAGGGTCGCGGGGAGGAGACAAGCCAGTCAGGGCACAGTATGGCACTGATGAAACATACAACATTACTTAGTTCTTTAATGTTTCCTCTCTCCCCCCGCACTATCATGATCCCAATTCTACCTTGCATGGACATGCTAGACCAGAGCATGTACACTGGTACAGATAGGAGCAGGAAACACAGGGGATCCAGGACGGATGATCCCTTCAGGACCA